TTCTTTCTTTCTTTCTTTCTTAGCTTCCCTTATTTCGTTTTTCATCTATTTTCTGTCCTATCTTTTCTTTTCTTTCCCTTCATTTCTTTTCTTTTCTCAGGGACAACACTCGTGATTACATATCGCTAAATGCACTAGTTTGATTCACACATAGTGAGTCGAACGATGACGAAATCTTCTCAATCCTTAACTGCTCATTCAAGATTAGATCAACTCAAATTATACAAATGAAAGTGTGCCTGGGCTAAAAATACTATTTAATAACAAGACAAACTTTAAAATAGCAATGAAATATAGTTTTACAATGAGTTCAATCTAAACAAGGTGTACATTTGATGAACATTAATTTGTTTATACATCCCATTGTAGCGTGCACTCCCGACTCGTATCATGCATATCTCCATGCCCAGTGCAGTTTTGTGGTCAAAACAATAAGGTTTTACTCTCATGATAAAATTAACTGTTTTGTCCATCGAGCCTGATTAAGCTGATTTGGAGTATATTCAGTGCTACCGCCAACGTTCGTTATCACTTTTTTATGCACTTATCAAGAATTGGCTGAAAGAAACAATGTTTTTCTGTTCTTGGACTGGGAGATTTGCCTGCTAAACCTAATAAAACGTGAATAACAGAAAGAAAGAAATCTGTGATAAGTTTCGAAATGAAGAAAAATTTGAGAGAAAGATCGAGACGATGATCTATTGATTTCAGAATGAGYTGAAAACTGATTGCTGATGTTAGATACACGAAACATACCTGATTTTCTAGAAATTTCGATCCATATAGATCTATCATTACAAAGCTTTTAAAGTGTTTTATTTAATTTTTTTATACGAGTCTTGTACCATACAGCTCTTAGAAAAGCGCGTTTGCATGCGTCGTTCGGTTGAAATTATTGAGAGTCACGTTTTTTGTTCACTATAGATCGTTGATTATTTCAGTATCGGAAAAAGAGGTGATCGATTTCAACAATTATGCCCCTTGTGTTATCTGATGACGTCATATTCAAGTATGAACTCGCAGTAACTCACGCATTAACGAGATTTTTTCATCAGCTGCATCAGAGCACATATAATGCGCCTCTGGGAAACTAAAAGTCATTCGTTTGTTTAATYAAGGAAATTAATTTTTCAAACATCTAAAGGTATATCCAATTTTTGACTCCGTCCGGATCACGTTTTCGGCATCCAAACAATCAAGAAATTACTCAGAATTAGTACAACAATGAATAATAGCCAAAAAAACAGGAGATCATATACTCCTCTTTGAAAGGATTTAAAATGGAAATCAAAGCCGATAGTCACTAAAGCTGTTCCGCCTTTGGCGATCTAGAGCATTTTAGGATTCCGTTCGGAATTCATTACCCGGCGCCAAGAGAATATGAAGTAAGTTAATATTCTCTTGCCGGCGCCCATGGTGGTTCTACCATTTTTGAATTTATTGAATAAAAAAATAAAAATTAAAAAAAAAAAAAAAACCAGTTTCACAGGCCTAGCCCAAACAAGGTTTCTGTGACGGCATGATGTATTTATAAGGGGATATATTGGAGTTAGGATAAGCCAGGTTTCAATGAAAATAATTCTGTTAARTTTTCTCTCGTTGTTGAGTGTGCTAACAAGCAGAATTTTCGACAACCAATCCTAATGTAAAGAAAATATTATCAAAATTATCTTATATTTAGGCAACCTAATAATGGCCTGCTTGTGTGTTCATTAGACTWGTTGGAGACTTGCTGAATCTCTTTTGCGCTCACTTTTGGCTTCGAGATATTTTTTATTAATATTTTCTAATCGATTCAATAAAGGAATGACTGGTTGTTTTCTTTTCTTATAACTTAACCTAGTTTATTGTACTTACCTGTTCTTATTTATAGGGGTGGAATTGTTATCTTTATCTGCCTTTTCTTTTCTCCTTTAATCTTAAAATTGATTTCGTAGATTATAATACAAAAATGCCTAGGTCGAAATATTTCTCTAATTTTCACTTTCTTTTTACCTTTTATCGCCACATCACAGCACATAAACCCACAGTTCTGGGTCTGCCATTTAGACAGATCAATGTTGGTCATCTTCTACGATTTCTTCTTGATATATATCCCTGAACCTGTTCTTGAACAAAAATTTTGATCACATGAGATCAAATTTCCCGCTCTTATTTTTTTTCAACCCAAGCAACGCTCTTTCCCCAAGAAGGCGTGGRTACTTAACTAATTGTGGGCTTCCTGTGGTTTTCCAATTTTCAAGATGGCGGCGCAGTAACCAAGCTGACATCTATTTTTCTCGTTTATTTTAGTACGAGAACGAYTCAAACCTTAATCTCGGCCTCTAGAAGGATGTAAAAGACGAATATCATACATTAGGAAGGGGATTTTATCTTCAAAGTAACAAAATTGAGCGGTTTTAGCTTGTAATTTWCAAGTTGTTGTTTGTTTACAACGGTGACTTGGCGACGACAGGAGCTGAAAATTGAAGAAACGAAAATCTKAAGAAAATACTGTGATTGTTTAAAGATGCGACTGAAAATACATCTACAGAAAGAGTCAAAGCGTATCCTTTTACTTCAAGAATATAGATTTTCATTTAATGACCAGAAATGTTAGATTCCACTCTCATCAGACTGTCTGTACTTTTATAGTGGCTTTTGTATTCAATTGATTCCAAATAATATATAAATGCATATGAAAAAGCGGCTTTTTAGTGAATAATCGATCTAGTGCTAGTACTTCTTTACATTCTTTTTTTTTTACTCCGTTTTATTTTCGTAAATGGATGTATTTCCTTGACATGTAAAACAGACACTGATCTGGTCAGCTGTGTTGGGTGGACGACTTCTGATGAACTCTTTTCTAGTGGGTAAGTACAATGTAATATTACCAACCATAAACARATAAATAGATCTGGTGGTAGAACTAAGCAAGGGTGGTGACATCTTTAAAAGTTTTCCATAATTCAATTCTGTACATTATTAACAATTTATTATGAAATATTAAAATTCTTAGACCTAAAAGGAAGAGGTGCATTGTGGTCTAGTTTGGGTACACATGACAACTGCTTAGCTACAATGACCAAAAGACATCTTACACTCAAGCTAGACTAGCCTCCTTACAGCCAATGTTAGGGTCTTCATGCAAAGAAAGAATTAATAGTGCAGCGCACTGATTCTAAAAATAGCTTAAAGATTCGGACAAACATTGCATTCTGTTTAAAYGCTTCGAGGATTATATGAACYGATTTTATTATTTTTACTTAAAGTTACAATAATAACCCATGTAAACTAAGATCAACTGCGATCGGCTGTGAAAATTATMTGCTGAAAGTAAACTTGTAAGTTTGTTTGTCCGAATTTCGCCTTTGTCTTCGTTTTTATGACGTCAYGACTGTGCTGCGCTATTGTGTAACCATTGTGTCAGCAGTCAATGCTTACCTGGACCGTAATGTAGCATGTTTGCTATACTGTATGACTATGACTGGCATAATATTAAGTTAGCAAAAATTAATAGAGAATATTACATGGCCACTTGGAGATACCAATTTTATCTTTGAGTGTTGAGGCATTATCATACGAGTAAGCACAACAATCAGATAATGGTTTTGAATGCAATCTCATCTATTTTTTCATGGCATTTCATTTCCATTTTTTAACTAGAGATGATCATACTATCATGAAATGGAACTTACTCTCTGGTGAAACATCCCAACTGATCAAAYTTGCCCAAGATATTTATCCTACTGACTTCCACTGGTTCCCCAAAGCAGCTGGTGGGGTAAAGCAAAGTCAGATTGACATCATGGTTATGACGGCAACTGATGGTAAGTCTAGTCAGTCTTTGCCTTGTAATCTTGCTGATGGAGACAGTTGACGCTGTTGAAACATACGATATACAAAATCAAAAGTCTCATTTTTTTCATTATTCATTCTTATAAACCCCTACTTTGTTTATGAAGCTTCTGATTATTTTAATATTCAAATTTATTCATACTTAAAGGTAAATTTCACCTGATATCACGTAATGGTCGAGTGGAAAAGTCTGTTGAAGCTCACAGAGGTGCTGTGTTATCAGGAAGGTGGAGTTACGATGGTAGCGCCATGGCAACAGGTGTGTAAGATACATGCTCGGAAAAAAGATTAGTGAGAAATGTTTTAAGTGTTACAAATGGATAGATTGCATTTTCTCATTTTTTTATTTCAAAAGTATTTTTTTATTTCAAAAGTATTTTTTTAAGATTCACACTATGGGTGATCATGTAGTTTATGATCAACCAACATGTGTCAGTCGATATTTTGCAGATTTTTGGCCAATGTTCGATGGCCAACACTTCAATTTACGATGACAGGTGTTGGCTAGTCATAAAGTACAGTCAATCACTATCACTATGCATCTTTAAAAYACTTTTTTACTCAGTCTGAAATATCTTTTTCCAGTTGGAGAAGATGGTCAAGTGAAAATCTGGTCAAGAAGTGGAATGCTCAGATCAACCCTCATGCAGACAGGTAAATCACTGCTGTGGAAACTTTGAGTTTATTGTGTAGTTCCAAATATTATCTATACCCCCCTCAGGGAAGAATTTTTTTAAGACACCCCCCTACCCCCTGGAAATTCCAATTTTCTTCCATACAAACTCTGTAATCTTTGTTCTTTCTCTAACCCCCCTACTCTTTGGAAATTCTAAATTCCTCTGTGGGGTGGGTATGGATGATTTCTGGAACTACACATTGTCACTTTTTTTTAATATATGCTGTAAAAAGTTGAGCCAATCAATTGGAAATGAGGTTTATTTTGATCACTCACTTGAACTCTATGCTTCATTTTAGAGGGTTTGAAACTGTAGAAAGTTTTTGAAATAATAACTTGAAAAAAACTTGAAGTGTTTACAGTTGGAGCATCYTTACTGTACATACACTTATGTACTTTTATTACAGGAACACCAGTCTACTCAGTTTCTTGGAGTCCTGATTCAGATCAAATACTTTATGCTAATGGAAAACAATTGGTGATAAAACCACTTCAAGCTGCTGCTAAACCAATACAGGTAGATAAGTTAGTAATACTAGAAGTGATGATGGCAATGATAACGATCGTGATGATGATAGCAATGGTGATGATGATTATGGAGTTGGTGACAATGGTGATGATGATGATGGAGGTGGTGACAATGGTGATGATAGCAATGTTGATGATGATCATGGAGGTGGTGATGATGGTGATTATTGTGCCACTGTTGCTGCGGAAATCAAATGCTGATATTGGTGCTGCAGCTGTTGCTGAAGATGATGATGATTATTTAAATATATCATTAACTGTTTCTCTAGTGGAAAGCACATGATGGCATAGTACTAAAGGTTGACTGGAATCCAATCAATAATCTGATTATTTCTGGAGGAGAAGACTGTAAATACAAGGTAAATAAAGAAATTAAAAGTAATCCAGTAGACATAAAGTAAATGTGCATTAATTAGTATCAGAAATATATTTTGCAAATTTATATTGTATTCAATTGTAATTTTACAATGGCTTTGGAATCTTCTGTAGTCCACTAAAATTGATAGTGGTTTCTGGAAGCAAAGATTTTACATCAGTTACATTATGTATACTAAACTTGTGCATCCACTCTAGGTATGGGATAGCTATGGAAGAATTCTGTACTCAAGCTCRGCACATGATTATCCAATAACAAGTGTATCATGGGCACCTGATGGTGAGTAATAATATTCAGTTAGGCTGCTCTAAAGACGGCAAAGCTTTATCTTGTCAGACTGTATATTAATAATRTAATAAATTATGCTAATCAAACTTTGCTCTGCAATTATTTTATTAGGTGAACTTTTTGGAATTGGTTCTTTCAACACACTGCGTYTTTGTGATAAAACTGGGGTGAGTTACTAAGTCAGCATTATTATTAGTTAGTAAGGGTAATAAATTGCCAGCTATAAACCAATTTAGGCTAGTCATAATGTAATGTCTTATATATAATTATCTATTATTTGAATATATCATATTAAAATTAGATATTATGTATAATGGACAAGACTTTATTCTCAAGGGAATGACATGTGGGAATAGTGGGTGACACATTTAACCCAAACTAAATGTGAGAACCGGGAGAACCTGGTGTGATATTATTAAAATATTAATAATAACTTATATTTGCTTACCTTAGCTGAATGGCAGCTCATTATTGAATATATATAACTGACATTTTTCTTACTAACTCTATTAATTTTATCATCAGTGGTCATACTCACTGGAGAAGCCAAACATAGGGTCCATATTCAACATTGCTTGGTCTACTGATGGTACCCAGCTTGCAGGTGCTTGTGGGAATGGTCAGGTCATCTTTGCACATGTCATTGAAAGGTAGATCTGCTAGAAACCCCCGAATGATGAATTACGACTGTTCGTAAATGATTCATTTAAAACATGTGCTAACTAGAATACTCTGATCTTGTCTTAGACGTTTGGAATGGAAAAATTTTGAAGTGACTGTTACTGAACGGAAGAGTATTGCAGTCCGAGATGTGATGAATGACACCAAAGAAACTTTAGGTATGTGCTATTTAGTGTGGTATTCGTATGAGTAGGAAACGTCTGGTACTGACTCACCTCACGTAGACTGTAGGACATRCSATAACATTGAAATGGCTTACTATTGTCTTCCAGTAATTCATTCAATCATACATGTGTACCACATACCTACTGCTCAGTAAGATACGATATGGCTGCAGTACGACTGCAAGTTTGCTGTATCATTTCCCACTTTAATGAAAAAGTGCTCTATATATTAATGATATAATTATCCTACACTCATTAAAAGCAAGATCAGTTCTTGATCTCTTCTTTTGAATTGGATAGATTTTCGTGACAGGATCATTAAGACAGCTCTCCGATTCCACCATCTTGTCGTGGCAACCTCGTCACAGTGCTACATCTACAGGTTAGTACACTTGATTTCCTTTCCTTCCTCAGTCTTATCAGTATGGACTATGAATTATTTACAGTCATTCTAGAGAAGCTACTATCAACAACATGGGTGTACACAGGTAGCCCAAGCTCTGTTTTTGTCAGYCAGGAAGTAGAAATATTGAAGCTAGGTCACTTTTTATAGCATAGCATAATAATTAAATATTATAGTAATATTTCTTACATTTTTATAGAGGCAGGGGGGTAGGATGACTGTAGTAATGACCAACATAATGTCACTAAAAAATGTCTGTAAATGAGGTTTTTGACAGACTTGTTTACTCCCAAATTTAAGAGTATTATCAATTAATATTCTATAGAATTGTGGCCTAGCTTCAATACTTCTAATTCATGCATGCCTCACACAAAAACAGAGTATGGGCTGAGTTGTGGAATACTGACCAGAGACCATGAAAAAGAATTCATTTGCAACTTCTATCTTTATGACTACATCTAAGCAAGTAATATAAATTTTTCCTAYTTTTACAGTGTCAAGAACTGGAACACGCCAATGATTTTTGACTTGAAGAATGGGAACATCTCACTTATTGTTCTTGCCGAAAAGTAAGCTTACACATTCCATATTACTTTTAATTATACAATCAATGATAATAAGGTAAAAATTACAGCTGAAATAGACCTTTTTCCTTTTGGGAGTAATATTTTCCCATTTCAGACCATGTGTCATTCTTAATGGCTGCATATTAATTAGAAGACACTTGAATATAGATACAACTCAAACAAAGAATCTTATTCTCATTAAGAGAATAAAAAGATGGTCAAAAATGGGAAAACATTATGCCCGTGGTTAAGAGGTCTATTGGTGCATGCAACAGAGCAATAATTGCAATAAAGCAATAATTATTATTGAGCAACTATGCTATTGATTGGACAAGTTTGAAGTGACAACTAAATGCATCCCTATCAATCTTCTTTCAGGTGTTTTCTTATCGTTGATGATGCAGGTGTGCAAATCTATTCCTATGAGGTTAGTAAATTGTTCTCTCACTTGTTGGGTGTATGCAAACACATCTTATCCTCCTATGCAGATGTCCATAGGGTCCACCGGTAAGGTTGTAATGTGAATGCTTCGCTCCCCTTGAAAAACAGTATCAAAGTCAAAGTCCAATTTATTTTTATTTTGTAACATTTATGCTGACTGATCAATTTTGGGAAAGGAAATATTGCATGAAGACTCTGCGTGACAACCCTCAGGATGTCTGGATACGAGGCCACAAGTATATCTCCGTAAGGCTGTCATGATAAATGTATGTTGTTTTATATTTGCAGGGTCGTCTGATCAGTGCACCCAAGATACAAGGGTTAAGAACTGATGTACTGMATGAGCAGACAGTGTCTCTCAGTAATGATACCATTGCAATAAAGGATCGTAAAGATGAAAAATGTAATTTACATTTTGTTAAATGCTATGTGAATGAAAATCTAGATGATGGCGATGACAATGTGAGAATGACAGTTGATGATGATTATGAAATTTTAGGCGCTTGGAAAAAGGTGATGAAATTGATGACAGGTGTCAGTGTGATGACAATGGTATGGCAAGGGTGATAATGGTTATAATGGTGATGGCAAAACTATTGTAATTAATATTATGAGTGACACTGTTGAACAGTTTTACTAGTATTTCCTATTTACCTGTTGTTATTTTGGTGAACTGATGTCTGTTTGTTTCGTTGTCCAGTGATCTATCTCTACGAAGCACTATCTGGAAAACCAGTTGGTAATGGACAACCCTTGACACACACGGTATGTTATCAGATTTTTGCCACACTTAGATTTGTTTGAAGTTGAAGCTGAAGATTTGAGATACATAGACAAGTACACTTGTACCAATCAATTTGGGGTAGTGTAGTGGTAGTGACTCACCTCTGGGGTCTCTGGTTCAATTCCTGGACTTGGGATTACATGTGAGTAGAGTTTGTTAGGTCTTTCCTTTGATTCGAGGGTTTTTCTCCTGGGTATACTTGGGTTTGATTCCTGGACTCAGTATCGCGTGAGTAGAGTTTGTTAGGTCGTTCCTTTGATTCAAGRGTTTTTCTCCAGTTTCTTTCTCTCYGCAAAAACGAATACGCCAAATCCCAATTCAATCTGTGAGTTAGGCATGCATGTATGCCTTGACTTTGATCAGCCCAGAGGTTGCTTCATRGGTATYCATAAAATTTGTAGTTGCATGAAAGTATGGAGTCTAAATAGTATTCTGTAAATATTATGAACTATGAAATTTTTTTRACATTTCTTGYTGGTGTGTTTTAGATGGAAATCATTGACATTGCACTTTCTCAATGTGGACCCACAAGCGATCGTCAGGTAGCAATCATTGACAAGAACAGAGACATGTACTTGGCTCCARTCAAACATATTGGAGCTGCTGGAAAATTTGTCAGATTAGGTATATTATTGAATTTTATAACATGTAGTTCTGGGATAAATACACTAAATGCCACRAAAAAAGGGTCTAAAGATAGCTGGTGAAGGATATTAATATTATTGATCTAGGGAGCATTTCTCAATATCTGTTCTTGCTTACATTAAGAAGAGCACCAATGCTTTTGGCTCAAAAATTTACTAAAAAACTCAGTCTTGCCTTGCAGTAACTCCAATCTTACGGACACCTCACTATTGAGGACAGGAGCAAAATCCCTGGTGGAAAATACTATTAAAGAAATGGCTGTAATTAATTCTAGCTATTGTGGATGCTTGCTAATATGAACATCAAATGACAGTCTCGAGGGAGTCTGCTGTAACGAGAGTTGACTGTCGAAATGTACTTTTTGCGCACTCCTTGTCCTTAAGTATTTAGTCTGTTTCCAGCACTGCTAATTTACCGGTACCATGTGTTGTTGATGTTATCAGTCTAATCTTTTCTTATTCATGATTCCCAGGGACAATGATAACTACTATGGCRTGGAACGATACAACCAACATGTTGGCAGCATTCCAGGATGGTAAATTCACTGTCTGGTACTACCCAACTGCTGTGTTCGTTGATCAAGATGTCTTGTCTAAAACACTGCTGGAAAAAGACTCAAGGTAATGAGCCTGCCAAAAACCCAACTACATTCACTGTATATATTATAGCAGGAGGGTACTTATAGTTGTGAGGTAAGGAACAGCTGCTACAACAAAAGCAGCAGCAGCAGCATCAACAACAACTGCAGCAGCAGCAGCGACAGTAACATCAGCGAGAGCATCAGCACCAGCAGCAATAAAAGCAGCAGTAACTACAACAGCAGCAGCACTAAGAACAAGGAAACTGATAAATGACATTACATCACCATTAATTATGGTTCAACAAGAACAACACAACGACAGCAGCAGCAGCAGCACTAGGAACAAGAACAGAACTGATTAACAACACTATTACAACAACATGGTTCATCAAGAACAGTAACAACACTGCACAGTAATATCATTGTCGCACATTAACAACAACAATATCTGCAGCAGTAGTACCCAGTAGCAACAGCAGTAGCGATAAATATGTCACCTAAATTATGTGTAATATTGTTTTCAGTGATTTTGGCAAGAATTCTCAAATCATCAACTTCCTTGAGAATCACTGCACCATGAGAAGGGCTGATGGGTCTCTCTGTAACGCCATGTAAGTACCATTTATTTCCAAATGCCAAAAGACTGGGGTTTCCAGTATAGACCCCTTGCATGTGACGTCAAAGTAGCTCAATCTGGTGGACAAAACAAAGCAATTGCCATCTACTGACAATTGGAACCTATTGTTTTTTCCCCCAGATTGATCTGCATTCCAAAGTGCTGCAAGGGGTCCATAAGACTGTATATTAAAAATGTTGACCTCAGAAATCAACCATTTGTACTGTGTACATGTACATCAAATAAGCTACCAGAATCTTGTGCACTGGAGTAATAAAATCCTCAGCTTGAGAGTAAAATACGCCAGAATAGCTAACCATATTGAGTTGAGTTATGATTTTGTTCTAACACTGCTAATTTTTCATTACACAGCATATCTCCATACCCAGCAATGCTGCACAAATATGCCTCTGAATCAAAGTGGGAGGATGCCGTCCGACTCTGTCGATTTGTTAAGGTACTTGAAGATAAATGAATATAATTTTTTTATTAATTATTAGCAATAATCATAATTTTTTGAATATTTATTTATTATTCCTTAATATTATTTTTTTCAGGACTCGGCACTCTGGGCATGCCTTGCAACAATGGCTGCATATGCCAAGGACTTGAACACTGCAGAAATTGCTTATGCTGCTATCGATGAGGTATGCAATGACGCACCCTAAAAACACTCCTCTCTTCTCTTATCCACCCTGGAGTGCGCTGAAGAAAAAGACAGTGTCTTTTGGAGAATGCTTTCAATGACATGCTTTTCTTTTAGATCCTTTTAAGTTGGGTTTGGCTTCACCTGAACTTGGTTAATTTCTTATCTTCGAAAAGTTCTTTAAATGGGTAACCATGTGGGATTAATTTTGTTGTCCGCCATTCATATTCATTTGCCCAGTTCACAGCACACTATAATATCCTTGCATTTTTCTTTTCCCAGGCAGATAAAGTTCAATACATCAACCACATTAAGGAGATTCCAACCAAGGAGGGTCGTAATGCTGCCATGGCTATATTTTGCCGACAGCCACAAGAAGCAGAGTCTATACTTCTACAAGCTGGACTCATTTACCGAGCAATACAGCTACATATTGACCTCTTCAACTGGGATAGGTATTCTTAACAGTCCAGTAGCTTTAGCAAAAGAAATGTCATTGACAAAACTTTGTATGTGTTGTATAAAATAAAATGAGTGTTGGTGTTGTGCTGTCTCCCAGCATTCTGATTGGATGAAATGCTAATTTAGTGATAGGTGACACCCTATATTAGCGAGTGCAACTACAGTGACATACCATGACAATGTTTTTACCAGATGTTGCAGCTGACTTTGTCATATTTATTTCATGACAGAGCCCTTGAGTTAGCTGTCAAGCACAAGACTCATGTAGACACTGTACTGGCTTACAGACAAAAATCTCTTGAAAACTTTGGAAGGAAGGAAACCAATAAAAGATATCTCCAATATGCACAAGGGGTATGTAYAATATGATATTGATCATTGCTTGCCTGATGTGTTGTCAATGGTTCAGTATAYGAAATAGTGGCTAATGTAGGCCAGACATGTTTCTAAGTGAGAAGCCCACAGTATTGCCATCCCCACTTAGAACTGCACCCAAGGATTGTGGTTGAATAAACTTTATCAGTACTTTTTTTGTCTTTGATGGATTGATGCAGGGTGAAACTGTAGAGTTATGGCATCATGACAGTTTCCCACTCATATATGTAAAATCTGCTTACTCTTGGYGCCCAAGCCCTGATCACAGAATACTTTTGCAAGTCGTTTTAAGGTAGCTTTAAACTTTGGTATCCTAACAAAAAATACTATATTTGTTTCAGGTTGAAGTAGACTGGGAAAAAGTGAATGCCAAGATAGAGATGGAGCTGCAGAAAGAAGCTGCAAGACCAGGAGCCAAACCTTACAGTGGTTGATTGTCCACATGTGTGGAGGCACACAAAGCAAGCATATGACATATATGTCACCTTTGTTTCTAACTAAAGTAGAATTAAGTAGGAGTCTGTTTGGGAAACTTGCCTTGCTTAGCTTGTATCTGTAAAACAATTTGACAACTGCAACACTAAAGGTATCCTGTCATTAGCCTGCATAGCTGCACTTTAGAGGGAGGAGGGGGAGGATGGAAAGGCAATCTTCATAGCAGACGCTCCCTTCTCTTCCCTCCTCTCCAGTCCCTCTCCCCTTCCTCCTTCCCTCCCTCCTCTCGAAAGCTGCTGCTATGCAGGTTATCATGTAAGGTGACTTACACCTTCAGCTTTACCATASTGTACAATGTACATAATATTCATGTGTATTTAAAGAATATAACTTCAGGTAATAAATCCATTAAAAGTTATTGATTTTGTGTTTTGTTGTAAGAAACCTRCTCATATACTGGCACCTCCCTCTAGTTTCCAAGGATACATACATAATGGCATACATAATGACAATAAATTAATGAAAAAATACATCTTTTCAAGTTTGTATTTATCTAGCATTATTTAAAAAAACGTAATTATGATTAATGGTATTTACAATTTCTACATTATTAACAATCCTAGTAATATTTGCAATTCAATTATACTCTTTTATACCACCTTATTTCAATGATACATTGACAAAAGATTGTCCCTTTCTTGGAGCAAGTCTGTATAAATCATAATATTGTATTACCCTGACCACACAATCATACCTGCGTACTTGCAGTTCTTGTGTATCAGTGGACCAAATAAGCTTCAGTGGTAGAAAAATTTGTGGTGTATAAAAAAAATTGAGATGTAGATTTTCCCACTGAGTTAGGTGTTTTATCTACAGATGTAAGTCCCAACTCTTCTATGGGTTTTAAACCCATATAAAAAAATTGCCATCCTCAAGATAGATATACAGAGAAACAGTATAGACATGTTTCACCTATGGAGATGTGATCCCCAGCTCTTCCATAGATAGGTTTTGAGCCCACTCATACAACTTGTCTCCTTCCTCTGCCCAGTCTTCTCTCTCAAACAAGTCTTCGTTGTTGGYGAGGTTTGGAGAACACCTGGGTGCTAGTAAATTGACACTACCCTAATAATATAAACCAATGAAATCTTTGCATCAGTGCACAAGTAAATTTTTAGGTCCAATGGCAACCCTTAGGGGAAAAGGATGTGCAAGTATGTATACACAGGCAACCCATCATTTGAATCATGCAAACACCTGCCTGGATATAACAATATCCCTCTAGAGATATTACCTGATTTGGACTTTGAACTCCATACATTCTTTTCATTTTTTCAACCCTGTCTCTGGCTTTTTTTGTTCTTCTGGCAGTGGTCTGACCTGACGTAAAGTCTGGGTTCTTTTTGTGTCTGCGAATCGAACAACACATTATTTATGGAATAAATTAGCAATATATTAAACTGAGCCAAACAAAAATACATCTTAGAATAAAAAAAATCTCTATTAAATTAGTGTGTGGTCATTCAAACGCTTTCCACTAATTTGGGACACTTTTCACTTTCACACACTACGACTAATTTCAATATTCTATGCATAAAACACTTAATGCTCAAATATTGGATTTAGTTAAGAAATCAAATACCTATAATGTGGAATGGCTTCTATTCTTGCCACTTGTATTGCTTGAGATGCTGGGTAGGCAGCCAGTAAATCTGGACACTCTTCAACTAATCTTGGTGAAGCTATGCCAGATGACACAAAACTGAAGATATCATGYACAATATTCTGTCTTGGAATCACTGATGAGGATAAAATGTAACTTAGCTGTTAGGATACTGGCTATTAATTATTTAGATGGCAGGACTGTTTGATAATGAGTTGTCATGCTTACTTTTTTCTAAACCCCTTTCATGAAGCATATTTTTTCTATATGCTGTACTRATCTTGCAAAGTTACATGCCTCTCATCTTCCCAGCACACAAAAAAGTGACCCTGTCATTGTGCCAGCCTAATCCATAATACCACTCTAGTAGTCTTCCAAAACAATGCTGATTACAAAGTAAATAAYATGATATTTACCATCTAGAGTTAGTCTTCTCCACTGGTTAGATTTTCCACCTATTTCTGCTGGTGTCTCGTCCAGATGAGACAAGTACTAGGGATATAAACATAATCAAGTCAGTAAAAGTACACAACTGCAAGAAACAATACCATGCAGGGACGCAGCTAGGATTTTGCCTGTGTGGGGAGAGGGGGGGGAACCAAACCCATTTTCAGAACATCAATATTTTCAGAACATCTATAAGTTGAACTTATCATATCACTATCGTAGATTGCCCCCCTCATGTCTTAATTGATAAATATTGATGACTGTGAAAACCAATAATTCATTCTAGAAAATAATTATCAATAAATACCAACCTTCATGCAATCTTTTATGGTAGTAATGTCAATTTCATCTGTTATCTTGTCTTTTGCATGCTGACATAAATCAGCTGTCATCTGATCATAAAACTTTCTGTTGCCCATCAGTTGTAATGAATCACAAGCCGCCTGGAAATATTACTATTGTTATTATTGAATCATGCAATTCCAGCACACAAGGTCATTGCTCCGTGAGTAGAAATTTTGAGACAAAAAAAATTATTTTCATTGATTGCAGGGTGTGTTTGTTCAGTCTACTCCAAGTCAGAGGCTCGTGTTTAAGCTTTTGATGCCATCTGGATCAAATTGGAAATCTGCAGTTAAATTTTTCAGAGGAGGGAAAACTGGAGAACCTGGAGAAAATCCTTKAAGCACAGTATAGAACAAGTAACTCTTACTCACACTCTACTGACACCAAGCCTGGGATTTGAACCCAGTTKYATTGGTGAGAGGCWACACATTAGCAGCACACAACAYCGCTGTGTTCTATGACTTTACCGTCATGGTGTGGTCATTTCATAAATGAATTTTAAAGCCACAATCATAACAAATTCACTTTATGCCTGTTCTGTATCTCTAACCTGTGTTGCAGGTTTGATGACTTTCTTGCCACTGATGTACTTCAACCCTTGTCCTCCAGTATTGATAAACACTTTGAATAAAATAATTGGTGGAAATTCTGTTCCTCCAAACCTGTATAGGAAGTAAATATACCATTATTAGTTATTTAAAGAATTTTTTGGTTGTTCCACAAGGTTTAACATTTGGTCCACCAATTTTCTATGTCATAGCTAAGTGTCAAAATTAAGACATCCACCTGAACTGTATACAAAGTTATAAATCATATTTATAAAAATTMAAGAATTTTTGGGAGTTCCACAAGGTTCAACACTTGATCCACCAACTTTCTYAGCTATCATCATAAATTGTCAAAATTAAGACACCCACCTGAACCTGACCCTTGCATTAACTGCTGGATCTCGAAGGAGGTCAGCTTCRAGTGGAGAGACTTTTCGTAGCACCTCAAATGTCAAAGAATGTTCCTAATATCAAAGTAAAGAAGAGAATGTATTAATCTACTGTGTAGTCTCATGCATCGACAATTGTTTCTCGGATACTCACAGCAGCACAGATTGCATACTTGAGAAGTTTAAACATCTGTTTATCCCGATATGAACACCAACAATTCTCTATTACTCTTGCAGCTTGTAATCTAGTAAAACTGGAGCACAATATTCAAGTCGTCACCATGGTTCACCATTATCATATCAGGAAGAAATATAAACAAAAATTTCATACCTCGGTTTTGATTCTAATTCCTCCTCCTTCTGCCCCATATTTCATTCACCAAATCTTCTTATTATGTAAAATATATATTAAAGTATCTATGTACAAATTTTTATTCTTTTTTAGTGGCTAAATTCTTACTAAAATTCGAAAAATTCAAGATTAACTTTGGTAGTTTTTTTCTCACTCTGTGTGTTCCGCCATGTTGTTATCCCATCGAGCAACGCGGCCGTGCATAGCAACAAGAGACGCCTTCACGTTGCTAAGTAAATAAAATCTAGAGCACAGTTTCCTCTCGGTCTTCCCGTCCAAAAAAYTGTGTGGAGACTGAACTCTAACTGAGTCTACGATTTCTAGTACAGCTGTTTCGCCCATTTACGCGGGTTCAAGATGGCGGCTAACGTAKTTGGAAGAGAATTTTGGAAAAGATGGTTGGATTGTGGGAGGTAAATGGGAAATATGAATCATCAGGTTTATAAAATTCACACAATGTCTTATTGCARTTTTCGTTTTTGATTTTATTTTGTTAGGAATTCGTTTTGGCGTTCTGTTATTACCAGGTCAAAGTCAACAGGTATGAGAACAACTACATTTTGTACAAGTTTATTCCTTTTATTGTACCAAGAGATTACGAGATTAATTGAAATAAACACATTACTAAATGTATACTTAGATGGTTATAGAATTAGAAAAATTAAAAAAGGAAAAATTTCATATTAAATTTKTATTATGATTGAAGTAAGATCCCTTTTATTATTAACTAATACTTTTTATTCAAATAGTTATTCAATTATTGTCTCAAATATAACTATTTTCCTAGGGATCAAATCAGTGGACAAGGTTCTAATAGCTAATCGGGGTGAAATAGCTTGCCGAATTGTGCAGACAGCTAAAAAAATGGGTGTCAGGACTGTTGCTGTCTACAGTGATGCAGATAGAAATGCAAGACATGTGGAAATGGTAACCACCCATTCAAAATTTTGGATATTTCTTAATCATTCTGAAGATATTCATCTTCTATTAATTGATGGTTTTTGATAATTAATAATAAACCCATAATTAATTATCTTATAGTTTTTCCTTTTCAGTTAAATCAATCCCAAACTTTCTGGTCTTTTAAATAAATTATTTTTATTCCACCAGGCAGATGAATCATACCACATCGGCAAAGCTCCTTCAAGTGAAAGTTATTTAAARATGGATAAAATAATAGAGATTGCTAAGGCAACTGGTTCACAGGTACAGTTATATATGGTGTCCTACGGATTCTACTAGTTTTGTAACTAATATATTTTGTCTTTCCTAGGCTATCCATCCAGGCTATGGTTTCTTGTCCGAAAATCCAGAATTTGCAGAGATGTGTGAAAAGGAAAATATTATATTCATTGGTCCACCTCCATTGGCAATTAGAGATATGGGCATTAAAAGGTTAGTATGAAATATCCATACCACCCCCAGGCAAGGGGGATGAAATTTTCCTAGGGGTGGGGAGGGTAGGAGAAGGGTATGTCATGAAGCTCCCACATGAGTATAGTTTGTAGCGATATGCTTACTCTTATAGTTATATTTTTTCTATAGTACCTCAAAAGCCATTATGGGGGATGCTGGTGTGCCAATCATTACAGGTTACCACGGTGATGACCAATCAGCAGCGAGACTTCAAGAGGAAGCAGAGAGAATAGGGTACATTAAGAACAATAATTACTTGTTGTGTTGTATTTAACTATGATACCTTTGTATAAAGGTGAACTTGTTCAAGAATATCCCAGTGAGTTTAGTATAAAATTATTGAAATTTTTTTCTGCCGGTTTTTAGGTATCCTGTAATGTTAAAAGCAGTAAGAGGTGGAGGAGGAAAGGTAGTCTATTTGTATTGGCTGTTTATATGTTATAACATATTTTTAGGAGATGGGAAAAGGCCATGAATAATCTGACTCCTAGGGAGGGAGGGAAGGGAGGTTAGGAGAGGGGTCAYGATTGTTGATATATGCCAGGTTATTCATAAGTTGTATCATTGTTTTTTATTATAGGGAATGAGAATTGTCAACTCTCCAAAGGACTTTGATAGCGCACTGGAATCTGCCAGAGATGAAGCTAAGAAATCCTTCAATGATGATGATATGCTTGTGGAGAAGTTTGTAGAAAGACCAAGGTAAATAATATGTTTGATAGTGAATTAATGGATAGATAAATGGTGAATGAATTTTGACCAAACATATTATCCATTGGTCAGCTATTATTTTTTGCCCTGTTATCGGCACCAAGGTATGTTTTTTATTGTGATGGTTGTAGCCCTAGCCTCCCCCTTTCACTCAGTAAGAARCTCRCAAATCAACAAAGAAACACCTTTTATTAAAATTATAAAAAGGTTTAACCCTCCACAAAAATGCAAATTTCTGCTGTTGACTATCCCCTCTGAAGCTGCAGCCCTCCTTCCAATAAAAACATACCTTCCCTACGACACATCTTGTTGCTGCAGCCCTCCCCCCAATAAAAATGTACCTTCCCTAAGACACATCTTGTTGCTGCAGCCCTCCCCCCAATGAAAATGTACCTGCCCTAAGATACATCTTGTTGCTGCAGGCATGTAGAGGTGCAAGTTTTTGGAGATAAGCAAGGCAACACAGTTTACCTTTTTGAGAGAGACTGCAGTGTACAGCGTCGGCATCAGAAGATCATAGAAGAGGCTCCTGCTCCTGGTGTGTCAGAGGAGGTGAGAAGGAGTATTGGTGAAGCTGCTGTGAAGGCTGCAAAAGCTGTTGGATATGTTGGTGCAGGTATGATAATTATGTGTTTCATTAATTTTTTCTTCAATATGAAATAAATTAATAATGATATAATATTGATTAGGTCTAGGAAGTTGTATTATTAATAATATTATTTATTTATGTGGCACAGATTCAACATAGCGTTTTCAAGTGTGCCAAGAGCAACATACATACCTGCACCAACATATCCAATCTTATTACTACAATTTCTTGCATTTTGTATATTGCTCTTGGTATTATTTTAGACATCAAACAAGCCGCATTCAGTTTTGATATTTATGATTGACTATTGCTAGCTTAGTAGTCTAGACTTGTGTCTGGCAGGGACACTTAGCAATAGCTGGTGACCAGTAAGAATTTGTATAATTATTCCATTTATTATTGCATTCATGGAAGTGACACACTCCCAAAATAACAATGAATAAACTACTTATTACGTTCTAGGGACTGTTGAGTTCATCATGGATAAAGACCAGAATTTTTACTTCATGGAAATGAACACTAGACTACAGGTAATTTTCAGAGTTTTCACCTTATTTAACTTTTTTGTCAATTTTCTGACAGTCTATCGGGCCTTAATCTAAAATTCTCCCTCTCCTTCCCCCAAAATTTTCTTAAAACGTTTTTTTTTTGTTTTCCAAGGTTGAGCACCCAGTAACAGAGATGATTACAGGGCTAGACTTGGTGGAATGGCAGCTACGAGTTGCAGCAGGTGAGGACTTACCACTAATGCAGGAGGATATCAAGCTAAATGGCCATGCATTTGAGGCAAGATTGTATGCTGAAGACCCTGAAAAGTGAGTTAGTAGACTGATAAACCTTTGTTAGTTGTAACCGCTATTTCAGCTGCTATTCTCTTTCTTGATCGATAGACCCTTTTGTTGRGTGTATTGTTTTCCCATTTTGGATAACTTGTCATTCTTTTGAGAATTAGATTTTTTGTTYRAGTTGTACCTATATCATTGTGCTTACTCATGAACAACCATTAAACAAAGAAATACTTTAGAGATACTTTAGAGGATGACAAGTGGTCTGAAATACGGAGACATTAAGCTTTTAGCTATCAAGAGGTCTATGGAGCACTATATAGATTGAAATATTTAGCTTAAGAGATAAAGCAATAGTGAATGTACTTTTTATCTACATTTTGAGCTTAACTTTGACCTTATTTAGGGAGTTCCTCCCAGGAGCCGGCCCCATCCACCATCTAACAACACCACAGGCAACCCAGAATGTTAGGATTGACACTGGGGTCAGACAAGGTTAGATTTTCCTTTGTTAAATGTCTAAGTTCCTTTACAAATCCAAATTGACAGTCAAATGATCACCATCTTGTTTTTATGCCGCCAGGAGACGAGGTGTCAATATATTATGACCCTATGATAGCAAAGCTTGTCGTCTGGTCTGAGAGAAGATCTTCTGCTCTTCGACTGCTTAAAGAATCTTTATCACAGTACCATGTGAGTTGATAGCTCAAACAGTGATGATGATTTCTGTCCCCCTTTATAAGGAAGGGATGAATATTTTCTGGGATTTGATAGTATTGGAGAGTCCCACATCTATAGCTGTTTCCCATGCTTGTCGATCTTCTGGTCTAATGATTTAATATAATTATTTTCTAATTCTTACAGATTGTTGGATTCAATACAAATATCTCATTTCTAAGCACCTTATGTAACAATGAACACTTCAAAGAAGGCGATGTGCATACAGATTTCATAAAGGTATCTTGTTGGTCAGAATGACTACTTTTTACCAAATCAAAAAACTGTGGATTGTTAGAGAATGGCTTAGGGAACCTGGTAGGATTGAACTTCAAGATCCTAGTCTTTCAGTCACAGACAAAACATTTCTAGTTTCTCTCTATCTGCCTACTTCTGCCCCTTTTAAGAATTAAAATTCCCCTTCCATTGCCCCCTCCCTCTCTTCCTTCCTTCCTTTCCATTTTTTGTTTTTCAAATCTTTAAGGAACACTTCCAAGACCTGTTCCCTGCTAAGCAATCCATCTCAAAGGAAGCTCTTGCCCAGGCTGCTCTCAGTTTGTTGCTATTAGAGAATAATCATCGCGAGATGAAGAGAACTACATTCAATGGTGAGAGTGTGTTATGTCAAATTTTATTCGTATTTCAGTATTTGTATTGTTTATACCAAACCTTTGTTAATACCATAATTTATAGCTTTAAGAGTGTTCGAAGATTGTATCGAGATTATGGCTGATGTTGCGTAGCATAAATTAGGAACTGTTCTAAAATGGTGACTTGAACATTTGTTTTGTTTCAGATAAATTTAGTTTGTGGAATTCAAGTTCTGGTTTTCGGCTCAACAGTGAGGTCTCAAGGAGAATTCGATTGAATGATGGAGACAAAAGTAAGTTTGTGTTCGGTTCTCAGTCTGAAACCATCTATTTTTATTCCATTCTTATTTATATACTTTTCATCTACTCATACTTTTCTTGCATAATTTTTGCACATACCCTTATCACCCCTTACAAGCTGTTGCATTGCGTGTTTGTCACCACAGTTGCAAATAATAATTTTTTTCAGAGATGGAATTGTTCGCCACATACAACAAGGATGGCAGCTATACCATTGAGGTTAGAAAAGAAATTTGATTACGTCATTAAGAGGGAGAAAGTTGAATGTATTGGGGGGGG